AAAAAAAAAAAAAAAAAAAAAAAAAAAAAAAGGAAAACTTAATTATTTTTTTAATAAAAAAATGTAAATGTCCGCTGGAAAAAATGTCCCAAACCGGTGCAGCCCCTTTAGCCCCCTCCCAGTCCCGGGAATTTTTTTGGGATTTTTTGGGATTGTTTCGGATTGTTTGGGAATTTTTTGGGGATTTTTTGGGGAATTTTTTTGGAATTTTTAATGAATTGTTTGGGAATTTTTTGGGAATTTTGGAGGAATTTTTGGGGAATTTTTGGGATTTTTTGGGGAATTTTGGGGGATTTTTTTGGGAATCTTTTGGGAATTTTTTGGGAAGTTTTGGGGATTTTTTTGGGGATTTTTTGGGGTTTTTTTTTGAATTTTTGGGAATTTTTCGGAATTTTTTGGGAATTTTTCGGGGCCGCCGCCGCTTCGGGCGCAGCCGGCGGCGTCCGCTGGGCGGCGCTGTAGGACCGCGGCTGGAAGGGAGGGCGAGGCCAAGCGCGGCGCGCACGGGGGGGGGCTGACCAGCTCAACAGCGACGGGGACGGGCCGGTGCGGCGCCCAAACCGGGGCTCCGCCAGCTCGTCCCCATCGCTGTCAGCTCTTCACCTCCCCCGGTAACCCGGTAACAACGGGCGGCAACCGGGGGGGGGGGAAGGAAAAAAGCAAAAATCCTCCGCGCTCCCCTTAAGAACTCGCAATGGGCGTGCCCTCCCGCAAGGCCCCCGCCGCTCCGCTCAGCAATTGGCTGCGCGTGCGGGCTGTCCGCGGCGCTGCCTGCGCGGAGGGGTAGAGCGGCTGCCGCGGCGGGCGGCGCCTCAGTCGGTGCGGGGCGGGCGGAGGCGGCGGGTGGGGAGCGGAGCGGGAGGAGGCGGCGGAGCGTGATGGGCGCCTGACGCCCGGCCCGTCCCGCCGCCGAGGGACGATGGCGCGGCCCCGCGGCGGGCGGTGGCTGCTGGGTGTCCTGCTGGCCGTGTGCCGCCTCGCCGCGCCGCTCGCCAAGAGCCTGGAGCCGGTGTCGTGGAGCTCCGCGAACCCCAAGTACGTGCGGCCAGAGAAGGGGGGGGTCGGGAGGGACGCGCCTCGCACCCCCGCGGGGAAAAAGGCACCGAAACCGCGTTCTAAATGAGAATTTAGCGGAAACAGCGAGGTTTATAGGGTAAAATCGCGCCTGGAGGCTGCGGGCGGCGCACGGAGCGACCCCCGGCTGGGGACGGACCCGCGGCGCCGCGCTGCTTCTCGTACCAAAAAAAAAAAACCAACTCCCTTCCTTTTTTCCCCCCCCGTTTTTAATTATGCTTTTACTTCTCGCAGCTTTTCCTCTCTTGAAATCAGTTTTTATTTTTGAAAACGACGTTTTGTTTCTTGAATTTTTAATTTTTTTTTTTCGTTTTTCACGCCTCGGGTTCTTTATTTTTTTTTTTTTTCTCCCGGATCGCCGCTTTCCTGCAGCGTTTGGATTTATTATATATTTTTTTTTTAATTACTGTTTTTTATCTGGGTTTTCTCATCCGAAATCAGCCGTCGAGGAAGGCGAGGGGATTCGTTCCGCCCCCACCTCGGGCTGGGTCCGAACAAAGCGGGGCTGCTCCGTCTGTACAGCCACCTAAATTCTATAAATTTGTATATTTTTATATAAATCTGTGGATATGTACACGGCTGCTGTACAGGAACAATATGAAGGGCGAGGAGGAGGAGGAGTGGGGGGTGTTTGGTCGCCCCTGTGCCGGGGCTGGTGGTCAGGATGGGTCGGTGGCCCTTGCTCAGCTTTATCTTGTAGATCATAGAATGTTTATTTATTTTACTCCTTTCTCCCTTCAAAAAAATTCTTGCTTTTAGCCTGCCTTTTTTTTTTTTCCTTCTCCCCACCACACTTCTCAAGGCAAAAAACCTAAAAATAATCCAAAGAGTGTTTTGAGGGTTGGAAAGAACTGAAACTATTTGGAAAACCTTCCTGCCTGGACACGTATTCCAACCAAATGTTTATTTCCTCGGTTTCTTGGTGGGGATAAAGGAACTTTGCAGGCACACTTTGCGTGTCCCCGGCTCTGGAAGCGCCGGGACGGCGGCTCCGTCTCTTCATTCTCCTTGGTGTGTTTTTCCTTTGCTTTCTTTGGGAGTTGTGTCAGTTGGCTGGGAGCAGAGAGAACCTTTTTCCCTCAGGAATTGCCCCACTGGATTCGTCAACTTGATGAGGTAAATTGGTTCCAGAAAATAGAGTTTTTGTTTGGGCGAAGGCAGCTGGAGGTGGAGGCGGCTCCGGCTTGGTGGTGGAGGATGCCATGTCACCCTCTTCCCTTCCTTATCCTGGGTTTTCCTTAAGCTGCTGAGGACTGGGAAGCTGGGAGGAGGCCCTGGCCATTGCCTGGCACAGGGGTGACACTCCAGGACTTCCCACTGAGCCTTGGAGATGTCCCTCCCTGGTGGGGTGTCCAGGGAGAGCTCAAGGGGTTCCTTGGTTTTCCCGAATTGGGAGCTTGGTGGTTTTCTGCTCCCAGTTTTTGGAGCTCAGCAGTTTCTGCCTTTGGTTCACGCCTAGTTCAGAGCTCAAAGGTTGTCCGGATTCAGTTTTCGCCCAGTTTGGATCTCGGTGGTTGCCCACTCTCAGTTCCCCCTGAATTCAGGGATTGGGGTTGTCCACCCTTGGTTTCCCCCAGATCAAAGATCTGAGTTTGTCTGCTTCCAGTTTTCTCCCAGTTTGGAGCTTGTTGGTTACCCACTCTGTTCTCCCCAAATTCAGATCTTGGTGTTTGTCTGCCCTCAGTTCTCCAGTTTGGAGCTTGGTGCTTTGCCACCCTCAGTTCTACCCTGGTTTGGAGCTCGGTGGTTGCCCGCTCTCCATTCTCTGGGAATTCGGAGTTTGGAAGGTCTCTGCCCTCGTTTGTCCGTGGATTTGGAGCTCAGAGGCTGGCTGTCCTGGACCCAGCTTTCTGGGAATGTGCCCTGCAATATGGGGCTGCTCCTGTGGGTGCTTCCCCATCCCTGTATCCCCACAGGGACAGGAGAGAGGGAGAAGCGCCCGAAACGTCGGCGTTTCCACCCAGAAATGGCTCTGCCGGGACATGTGTGGGCAAAACCCATGGAAATGTTTTTCCTCAGTGGAGACTTTTGGGACCCAGCTGTGATCCCACTCAGATCCCTCCAGTCTGTGCCCCTGCGGAGCAGCCCCGGATCCTCCTGTCCGGGATCTGTCCTTGGGATCCGTCGCTGTCTTTCCCAGCTCCGAGCTTTGCCAGCTGCGTGGCATCGGGCAGAGCCTCCTCACGGCTGCTCCCAGCAAACCCAGTTGAGGAAACCAGTCAGGGGATTGGTGTGCTGGGCAAAGTCTGGCTCCAGCTGCAGGAAAACTCTTGCTGTTGGTTGGATTGGCATTGTCTTCCAGATAGATCCATAAAAACCCTTCGCCACTGTACTTGGGCTTCCAAGCCCCTTCCTGGGGCAATGCCGGGGCTGTGCCAGCCCCCATCCCATTCTGCTGAGCTTTAACTCTTGTTTTTAGAGTAAAGAGAGCTAAAGCCTTTAAAAATAACACAGCTAAATGGAATTTTCCAACGGATCCGAGGAGTAAGCGTGGTGCTCTGGGCCCGGCCAGCTTCAGCGCGATTGCTGTAAATAAGGAAAATATTTTCCTGCCCTTTCTGGGCAGCTGGGAGCTGTGGGCTCCAGTTCCACCAGCGAGTCTGGGGCTCCTGGTGTTATCAGAGAGATGCTGATAACACATGCGATAGATGGAATGATTTCCTAATCGAGTTAAGTCAGTCTTAAGCTGTGTGCTGGGTTGGGAAGCCCAGGTCGTCTCCTGGGTGTGTGTCCCAAAGCCAGCGGTGAAATCATAACCCGCTTCCCACTGTGAGGATGCTGGGTCTTGAAAGGGAAAAAAATAGGCCTAGGAAAGGTTTTGTTGGAAAAAGTGATAATTGTCTCAAACCTGTGCTTGGGATGAGCTCACCCTCTGAGTGAGCTTTCCTTGGGATGCCTGCAGAGCCCTGTGGAAGGGGGCTTGGAGAGGCAATATGGCTTTAATTTATTCCATCGTGTCCAGGGGGGGCTTTGGGGAAAGTGTTCTGGGATTTACTCGTCCCCTTTGCTGCACAGCCGGGGGGCGGTGGGAGCGTGCTCTCCTTGGACAGCCGGGAATTGCCAGAGGAATTCTGGCTAAATCCTTTCTCAACTCCCTCGGCTGTAATTTGGGAGAAATATTGACCCTGGTGGGCTCCTGTACCGAGCGTTAAAGGGAAACATTCCTAATAAAATATGGTTTGGAAAATTCATTTCAGGCTGGAATTCGCCTCCCCAGAAAGTATTTTAATAAGAAGGTGGGGGAAATGGGACACATCATCCACGCGGCTCCGGAGAACGCCTCCTTTCGCCTCTGCTTTTCCCTCTTCCCCTTCCAGAAAGTTTTGCTCAGTTCCAAACTTGTTAAAAACCAAACAAATACATTTATTTAAGAAAAAAAAAAAGTGAGGGAAAGAGGGGAAAAAAAAAAAGGACAGACAAAAGTCTAATCCTTCGTGGTATTTTTATTCTGCCGTTAATGACATGATGGTGTCCCATGGAAGTCTGTCAGCACTGGGGTTGAAGCCTGGCAGATCTTTGCCTCTTTTAATGCCGTTTTACGAGGGACAAAGTGCTTGCGGGAAGGCTGTTTCCGAGGGGAAGGGCTGGCCTGGAGCTCTGGAGCAGGGGCTCGCACTTGTCGGAGCAGATGGAATGGAATTACGGGAGCCGTGGGCGCAGGAGTTGCTTCGTGATGTCAGGATTTAGGCAATAAGGAAAACTCGCTGCTTATTTTTAATTAAAAGTCGTTTCTGACTTGTAGAGACTCCCCTTCCTGAGGGTGAGAGGTGGAGAATGGGTTTAAACTAAAAAGATGGGAAGTTTAGGTTGAATATTGGGAAGAAATTCTTGGCTGTGAGGGTGGGGAGGTGTTGGCACAGTTTGCCCAGAGAAGCTGTGGCTGCCCCATCCCTGAAAGTGTCCGAGGCCAGGTTGGACAAGGCTTGGAGCAGCCTGGGCTAGTGGAAGGTGTCCCTGTCCATGGCAGAGGATGGAGCTGGATGGGCTTTAAGGCTCCCTCCCATTCTAAACCATTCCAGGATTTATGATTCTGCATTCCCATTAAGAATCCTATGGCCCCTATGTGCACCTTGGCTTTTCCAGGGCTTTGCTTCATCTCCAAAGGCTGGTTTGGGCAAAGCAAGCCTGGACAGCCTGCTTTCCAGCTGGAGTTTCCCTTTGGAAGGGGTGGGGGACCCTCTGCTGGGTGCCAGGCTTTTGGGAGCCCTCCCAGCTCCTGTTCCCCACAAGGCAGAACCTCCCCGTGCCCATCCCACGTTTCACTGGAGCTGTTCTCCCTCTGCCTGTGCCAGGGGGAAAGGAGCACCCAGGGCTCCTTGTGAGTCGTTTGGGAATGACTTCATTAACTTAAATTAAAAAAAAAGGGAAGGCAGAGCTGCGGCTCTTGCAGTAGCCGGGTAAATACCGCTGGATTCCATAAAATGGATTTAACTGCTTCCTTTAAAAGAAAAAAAGAGCTGTGATGGGGTGGCTGATTGATTGTAAAAGGAGCCGGAGCTTTCTCCGGAGCAAAACAGCTGCTGCAGCTCCTTGGATCTGCCTGGCAGTGAGGCTGGATGGGGCTTCCATGCCAGTTCTGACAGGGAAGGGCTGGCAGGGAGCTGGCAGGGGCTGCTTTCCTCCACTGCACCTGAGCTCCTGTGTCACTTTGGGGTCTAAGCTGTTCCCTTGAATCCTTATCCCAAACAGGCTGGATGTGACAGGGCGGGATGTGCCTGTGCCTTTGGTGTTGTGGCCAGGTGGGCTGGGGGTCCCTCTGAGCAGCTTCACGAGGTGTTTAGGGGGTCCCCCAAACAGCTTCACTGGGGGCTCAGGGGTCCCCACAAGCCCTGTCCATGTTTTTAGGGATCATGGGAGGTCGCAAAGAGCTGGAGTGCACGAGTAGTCCCTTGCATGACGTCTTTCAGGAGCTGTTTGGATTGTCCCCTATAAACCAGAGGCTTAGCAGTGGGGATGATCCC